GAATGAACCCAAGTGTGTTCTAGGTATCACTGAATTGTATCCTCAGCCTATTTTACTTTAATTTTTTTCCCCCACTTTATTTTGGGGTTTTTTTTTGGTTTTTTTTTTTTGTTTTTTTCCGGAACCGGGGATTGAACTCAGACCCTTGCGCTTACCAGGGAAGTGCTTATTCTACTGAGCCATCTCCCCGGCCCCTTCCCCCACTTTATTTTGTATTTTGCCTTGTGAAGTCACTAACTTGCTCAGGCTGGACTGGAACTTAATAGAGCTTAATGTTACCTATAAAAAGACTAATTAAAAAGATTATGCTATAAAGCCCTGAGGAGCATTCAAGTATGTCATCATTAACAGGATCTCCAGAGCCTCGAGTATAGTTTATGCGCTACCTGACCAGACTAATGTGAAGGAAGCAAGCATTAGGCCACCCACAAAATAACATCATTTAAAAACCTGAGATGTTAGCTCAAACTGTTCTCTACTACCACCTGCTGGTCTGCTGTTTGAATAGCATCATGAGAAAAAGTTAAAGCTCCATCCTTCAGAATGCTTGGAGAAATTTGGAAACGTTTGCTGATGTAGAAATTAGGTATCATATCTGAATTATTTGGAAATAATTCAGAAAAAATACAGCTAAAGCACATGTGAAAACTGCTGACAACTGCTGGATGTAGGTGGTGAGTATCCATAGCTGTTCATTTTAGCATTTTGCCTTTCTGTACCTCTGCAAACTTTCGTTGTAAAAAAAACCAATTTCACTTATATTGAAATACAACTGACAGGGGCCGGGAGATGGTTCAGTAGAATAAGCACCTCACTGGCAAGCGCAAGAGTCTGAGTCAATCCCCGGTTCCGCCAAAAAAAAAAAAAAAGAAAGAAAAAGAAATAACAACTGACAGTAACTATGAGCTATAACAAAAAAGTAGGCAAGAGACATACGGGTCAATTGTGACTCTAATGCAAGACATTTTTGGATCTCTTTGTTTGTTGTCCGCAGCATTAACTGAAAGATAATAAAATATACATTAGTGTTTTAAAAACATTCTTTAATCCCCAGTACTGCAAACCAAACAAAAACAACAAACCATTCTTTAAGATTTAGAAAAAAATCCCAAATAACAAAGGAGTGGTCTTAACAAGCTTTGCTTTTTTTCACTTGTGTTAGCATTTGGACCCAGAACCTGGTGGATCCAGGTAAGGAAGGCCTCTACCTCAGCCACATTACCTGCCCTGGTGATTTTTTTTTCTTCCCACTATTGGGGACCATTGCACAGTTATATCTCCAGCTCTTTTTATT